GTGTTTCGGCCTACAATTGACTGGTACGCTTGTCGCTCTGGTCTTTGGCCGATTTGATTGCTTGGTTGATTGACAGATACTGCCTGCTACCATTTACGCACGCACTCACGCCATGCGGACAACCTATATTACAATAGCGATCGGTTCCCGCCAATCAGAAGTTAGTATTGAGCTATCCAATCTGATTGATTCATTGACTATTTTGACGCCCGCTTGACGGTATTCGGATGTCGTATGACGCTTGAGCCAGAATGTTGGCCTGCCTGCCTGCAGGGTGACGCACTTGTTACTCAGACCGGTCAAGTCTATCTTATTTAATGTAAATAGAATAACCACTAAATTTACCGTTTACGTGTTTATTAGCTTCCAAGGGACACAACACTGAAGAAATCATCCAATTGCATGACATGCATGTTCATTTTGCCGGTTTACTCTTTCTCAACAAGTGAAGAACTGGCGTGACGCAAACGCCAACTGATTTACACGTTTTATGGTAAACCAAAAGCTTGACCTTCGTTTTTTATTTTGCTATTTATTTTGCGATAACCGTTTCTTTATTTGCATAGTCAATAACTAATTTATGCTGCCATTCAAACTGTCTTTTGAATGTTTGTGATCAAAGCGTGGTGGATCCCTAAATGTCAACCCTTTCCTGTCTATTGAATAATTTTACTGATTACCAAGTATCAATGTATTATTCATTCAATGGAATACAAACCTGAATTTGACCAGCCAGTTGTTTCATTCGATCCGATCGATATCATTCTGTATACCGTATGTTCCGCGCGTGTAAAATTCTACCACACTTCAAACATTCATAAGCATTCATCAACTGCGACCGGGTAGGCCAGGTGGCATTAACAGATAATGCGAGTGGTGTTTGATGCCACGCCATTCTAACCGATGGGAGTGAGTGATTGAAATGTGATGAGTAAGCGACGTGGAAGGAGTGATCCACCATGCACAAATTGTGGAACGTAGAGTAGTAGTTGGAATAAGGTAGATCGCTGCCGGACAAAGACAACAAAAAATTAAGTGGTCTACTTAATGGTCCTAAACAGAGGCATCGTGAAGCTGTTCATTTTCCATACATAAGTTTCTCATACTTTATTTGTTGTTAGTATTGATTTGTTCTCAACCGATTGTTTATTTAATCTAAAGCACAGTCAAGTGCTCCAGTCACCGCAATTTTTTATACAGAGCACACAATGCTCTTAACTTTATCATGCTTTTCCTGTTACTTATCAGCAACCAATCCATCCACATGGATACTGTTGGGTGTGACGATGATGCAACTCATTACCGTAGACAGGAGCCGAAAGGATTAAATCATACTGACGTCACACATGGTGGCTGAAAAGGACGATCATGCAAAGGGGTTGGGGCTCGTGTGCTTGTTATTTGTTGAAACAGAAGAAGAGCACAAGACCATGGAAGAGAGAATACAGGGACCCGGCCCAGTTCATCAATCCTCGCGTATTGTGCATACACATTAGGCTGCCCTAAATCCGTAAAGAATAGGTGCGGAATTCAAAAACAACGTTGTCTGACCAAGACACGAAACAGCTCTTAAGTGCCGCATCAAATCACATAACAAGTACGTCAAAATTACAGCACCCATACTCTTAAATGTGAGGGCGTGGTGTGCACAGTAACTGCTACAAATTACATCAAACAAACAATTCAGGAAGGGGAAATCGGTAAACGGGATAACAAACGGCGGAATTGATGACAGGGTTGTGTAAGGTTCAGAAGTCACATCCACTGAACACCCAGTTGGAATGGTGTGATATTGCGCGCGACAGGAAATTGTTTGACCTCTACGGTCCTGATGAAATCACGTACTCCGCGCATGGCCTGTGCAAGTATATGCTGTTCTCCAGCGATGGCAGGGGCTCGTCGTGATTTGAAAGGCCATAAATGCGAATGGAAAGTCTTAGGCGTTGCTTATCTAATGACATTACGTAGCTGGATCAAACATCGAAACCTTTTTATCGTGATTCTATTGAGAACCATGATATCCCTATACATTGAGATCATCTCACTAGAATGTAGTTGCTGCATCGTGCCCATGGATTAGACCACCCACAGCCTGGAATCTGATCCCATTGCAAATGTTTATGTTGAGCCTGCGAGAGCGGAATGCACTTCGATGACAACGTTGGGAATGTGGTTAGTAGCATTCCGCAACCCAATTTCAATGATGAATCAGTTCATGC